TCGTATGCGGTTGACAAGCAGAACCCGATACTGTGCACCTACACAAATGCTACAAAACATTGTGGCAGAAACTTGCGCATTGCTAACAATTCCTAGTGATTCTTGGCTTTTTAGGGTTGGCCTCAATTATAAGAAAAACTTTCTTCTAAAATGTCTTTGGACTGATAAAATTATAAAACGGAGTAGAAATGTTTTATCGCGTTGTAAATGCTCACATTTACCAGGTTTCAAAATGAGATCGGAGGGAATCTGTGCAAATTTGGTCTTCAATGACAACATGATTGTGCGATGGATGTCTTTCTACCCTGTCTAATGCAAGTTATTCACACTTCTGATTAGCCAGTTCTCATCAAACAATCATCGGTTCGACCAAGAAGTTAAAATAGTGAAACATCCCACAGTGTCCTAAGATGCGCAGTGTTGAGGTCCCCAGTTGTGAAAAAACAGATATACGGTGTTCCTCAGCTCCTTTTTTATGGTAACTTGGTTTTCTTGCCAAAGACCCTTTCGGATTTTTATCTGTCTTATAAAACCTACAACCTGAAATAATTCATTTTGGAGTGAACCAACATATTCATAGTAAGGATACAAAAGCCATCGTATTTCGGGTAACAGAGAAGCATTTTGTCTCCACAAAAATAAATCAATCAACTTTCAAAAGTTCATTTCTCGCATGCGTAAGACTCAAAAAACACACGAAAAACTCCACGGAATCTTCAGTGTTCTTTCAACTAGTTGTAACCTAATTTCTAACTTAACAAAAGGGTTTAGATGAGCCAGTTGAATTCTGCACTGATCCTCTACAGAGTCTTACTTTAAGTATCAAGGTAAATAAAACAGGTGGCGTCCAACCTAACGGTCGACTGGCGCGCGTGGCTTTGTTGTATACAAAAATGTGTCTGCGAAGCGTACGCAAAGGTGAACAGCAACTTTAAAATAGTTTTTGAGGATACATTCTCTTTCTATTTCACGGTATGAGTCTAAGCGCGAAGTAAACTACGTTTTTATCTCAACTTATACAGAATAAGGCGGCAGAAATTTGAGAAAATCATTAATAAAACGGATGAGTAGTATGTAAGGTGTCTTAAACAATTGATAATGGCACCACTTGTGTAGAATTACCACAATCCGGTTAGTGTCGCGGATCTTTGATAGAATATACTAACACCAAATGAAAAGCCAGCATTACACACGAACAGTCCATGATTCTAATTGGACTTAGAAGAATTCAGAAATAATTAGAAAAGTGATTTTGAAAAGTCAGTACGATGGAGAAGCCCCAGATTTTATGGCAACGTAACACTAAGCTTGCTGGCAATGACGGGCGCAGACTAAACAGGTTTTGGTTTTCAACAGAAAATACCCCCTAATAGTTTTGTACAGTATAATGGAATGACTGCTTGTCTAGCTCTATCTTGGAGAACAGGCGCGGTCTCCACCGAGATTGCAACAGAAGCTCTGTTGCATAGAGTTGTTTTTCATGCAGCGGGAGTTTGTCGCGTCAGCTTCCTGGTTTATCGGGATTTGTGTAAGGATTTACACGGGAAAATGTTGTTCATTCCTTACTGCAAACTAGGAGAGAGTTTTATTGTTAATATCTGTTTTTATTATCGAGAATGATTTTGTGCTAGTGTTAAACATGGGTCAGATACCAATGTAAGCCCCGGATGTACCATTTGAGCCTTCCGATTTAGCAGCGTCAAGCTTACAGCAAATAAAGTTATAAAATGCACTATTGAAGTATTTATGTCCAAACGACCTATTTTGCAAAACTCGTACAAGCCCGAATTCTCTACTGATGCTCTCTTTCCAACCTAACACGCTACGGTGCTGATGAAATAAAAGTCAGAAACGCATACTGAGAAACAGTGCTTAACAGGAAAATTCGGGCCTTTTTGTTAGCTATGCAACCAGCAGTGGCTTTTTCAATAGATAAATAAACTGTATTTGCTACAATGCAAAAATAGGTTTCGGTGTACAAGCCTATATTACCAAGGATCTCGAATTCAAGATTATATTTTTGGGGATATTGGATGTCTTCCCAGTGACCGGCAATATATTGATGGTAAGTACCCGTATATCCATGATACCATGGCGCTTTACAGTGACTTTTCACCTGTGGGCATGGTTTCGTAAGCTGAATGTAATGGGTCAAAAAATTACCCACAATTTCACATTGGCCACTCATATGAACCTACGGTTATGCTACAGTGAAACCATGTTGGCTTTTTCATCGGAGTTCAAACAGAATAAAAACCATATTGCCACTTTTTCTAAGATTGATATGGCTGCAACATCTTCTGTGCATAGCAGGTTTTTTCTAAGGTGACCTTCATTTTGACCAAGAGGATTTCACAGCTCCCAGCAGTGGTTCCTTCTTAGTGAAAACCTCTTGTTATCTCAAAAATAGGATAGTAGTTGCCGTAAACCAAAACAAAAATTCTACATTGACCTAAACAAATTTCAATCCAGCAGTTCAGCTAAATCACATAAATACAACTTGTAGACTATAAGACTTCAGAGAAAGCGACAAACCAATAGCGATTGACATTCACCCGGAAAGGAGGCTTTTTACATGAATGGTATCAATGGTATCTTCAAATCCATTGAGTTTTTTCACGGTTGTTTAACCAACAGATCAGTTTTTAAAATTCCTTTTCATCAATAGTTGCACTTGTTGTTTACGCATATTGTCTTGTTTTCGGCTCTGCATTTTTACAAAAATAATACGTTCATGTCTTTACCAGTTACAACTGTCTTGATACACGCGCCGCAATTTGATAAATTCATTTGATCATGTTGTTGGTAGCGACAGTCAAAAAGGCATGTGTGGATTTTATTAAGCGATGCTACTTTTACATTTAGGTTAGAATTCCTCAACTGTTCCTTTGCATTATATCTACTTAACTTAGATTGAAGGACTTCTGGAAATTCGCAATACCAGAGTAGATTAAAAGTAGGGATACAAACAGATAGTTCGTCCGAATCAACGCAAAATTCTAACACTAACCTGTTAGTGTTGCTTTTATTTTAGCGAATTGGCTATGTTGAAATCTATGCCCACTTCCGGTCCGCAACATTGGAATTGCAAAAAACAGGATAATTCCTCCTGGGATGTAATCCGAAAACGGCTCAATCAATAATATACCTTTGGAAACGCAAATATCTGTCTTTTTCCAGTACGGTTTGCGTTTTGCACGCTGATAACAGGCCTATCAGACAATATTTGCCAAGACAATGACCAGAATATTTGGCAGACTGCATAATTTTATCCCAACTCGTGCTGTCTTCTGCAAAAATTTGGAAGACAATTTCAACACGGCTTTTTGTAATTATGTTCAGGGACCATCCTCAAATATAAAAGCGTTTGAAAATTTTTGTTTTCTAACGAATCCGTTAGATGTATTATGATATTTCATCAAAATCCATGCATTTGAAGTTAATTATTATGGTTTTTCGTTCGTTTAATGTCATAAAAAGCATGCTCTTTTGCGTTATTACTGGATCTACTTCCAATGACTCTGTTATCTGAGACCACTGAGATTCTCGCTTACTGGCTGATTGCGGAGACACAATGGTAACTGTGACTGAATGTGGCAATCGGCGTTATCAATGAAACAATTTTCCGACAATTAATCTATACTAGTTATCACGACGTTATCTCATTTTAAATTTGTTGGTACTGAAGACTCCAGCTTAACTTCACGTTTCTTGTCTTCTTTTTTGGAACGGCGTGACTCTTATGGTCTTAGTATGTTTCTTGGCCTTGGGTTGTTCTTGCACCCTGCTCTTTTAACGATATTTGGGAAAATGTTAACGCCATGAATAACTGATATATCACTTTACCGACATAAAACGATCCCACAGTGACAAAGAAACAGAGAATTTGCGTATTTCAGTTATTGCTTTCTGATAAAAATGTTGGACGATTGATCATTTCACTGATTTTTCCATTGGAGGCATTTGATGGGAGCACAAGACTGTTCAGTTGCGATGGAATGCAAATGTCTTTCCTCCCAAATGGGTGTGCTCTATAGTATAGGTCTTCATGTACTCCTAAACTTTGTTAACTTTTGATTAAATCGTCACCTCAAACTGGTATTAACTGTCAACTGCACTCTCCATGGGGATCTACACTGCAATCAGTTTGATACACCCGGAAACCTGTTGCTATGAACTTCATGTCTTTCATTTTCCTGCCAGAAGTGTTACCAATGGCAACTTGTAGAGGTGTATAACATAAAGCAGTTCCATCACACCCATTTCAAAATAACGGATATTTTAGACCTCAGAAAGAACTCCCAACAGTCGACCGTCTGCTTACAGTTAAAAATGTTAGGATTTTTGAAAGTGAGGTCAGTTGCACCGCAAGAATTGGGTGTCCCAACAACACAGCCGTTACCTACGTTTCTCTTGCTACGGTTTCGATCAAGCTATACCGGGGACTCCTAAAGTGTACAGTGGTACGTTTGGTCTCAAAAAGCATCCTGCGATTTTATAGGACACTTTGAACAGATTGAATGGCGCCTGGCTTACAAGGTATTCGGAAATCACGTAAGTATTTCCCGATTCCAGTATTGCTTTACTTTTAAAAGTAATTCACTTCTTATTTTCACCCGGTACGCATTCCACTAAACGGTGTCATAAAAGCTACACTCCCTTTTGAAAGGATACTCATGAGATGAATGCGAGAACTAGATCCGTTGATAGTTACAATGAATATTTTTCGCGAAATTATTCGACCACATTTTTTCATTACTTTGTTCACCATAGGTTTACAGTGCTTACTGAAATTTGGTACTGCAAATGCAGCATAAACTTCATATTGTGAGGAACTCAACTCTTTCACTGGGGTGAGCTTTCTATAAATCTTCAAATGTTACCTGAAAGAAGTTACACTGTTGTACAAAAGCTACTAAAAAACCACAGCCTTAAATCAAAGAGACTGTATAAAACGTTAGCATGGACGAAGAGTAACGAATTATTCGGGGATAACTCACGATTTTCTTCTTTGTTGCTGTATCCGTGTTTTCACTAAGCTTTAAACTGGCACTGCACATCATTGTCTCTTCCACTGACAGATGTGGTAGTAGTAAGTCCTCCTGCATGATGTAACATGTAATCTTGCGGAACTCCTGTGGGTTCCTTTCCTCTTTATTCACAAAAATATTTCCAGAAACATTTTTTGTTCGATAACCTGCAAGTATGTTCATAAGCGAACTCTTCCCCGCTCCACTGGGTCCCATAATCGCGCTCAGTTGACCACATTTGAAAACTCCGGATATATCCTTGAGAATGAATTTATTCTCTAGCCACGTAAAAGCTTACAAATGGAACTCACCTATACCACGTCCTTTGTACACATGGTACTTAATATCTTCGAAACGCAGATCCTTTCCATTGTCCTTTGATAGTTGTGCTATTGAGTCACGAGGAGTGTCAGGTGTCTTATCCAGTGAACCAGATCCACCAACCGTCATCCCTTCAAAGCTATCCGGTTACTTGCAGCGCCCAGCCAACCGTGAATATTTCATTCACCATTTCACCAGCACAGAACAGTCAAACATATTCACAAGGTAGACGCCTGAAAGGTGCAACTGGCTGATGTATATAAACAAACTACCAGTTCAATGAGTAGAATTTACTTGTTCACGCGTTGTAAGCAAAAGGCTCCTAGACTATGTTAAGTTGGTCGTACGTTCCGCACGCCGATTCGGACTAAATTATTTAAATGGGGTGGGGGGGGGGTCTTTGTAGCTGAGCCTGGAGCTCTTGATCGGTTAATTTTTAACTTGGCCGGCGGGACCATTTAAAAGGCCGGCTAGTTTGTTGAAACGAGCTACTTGTGATAACGTGAAATGCGAACTATATGTTATGTGGAATAGTGCAATATAGTCAAAACAGAGTACTGGGCCCTCTTAGCTTGTACGATCGGACCTTCTTAGTTTTGGCGTCGGAAATGTGGAGGATAATTGATGGACGGCGGGTGTGTGGTGATATTCGCTTGTGAGTTTGGGGCATGGGCTTCGCAGGGACGCGGTCATCTGGGAATATGTGTAAGGAATCCAGCTCAAGGGTCCATTCTAGAGTAAAATAACAATGAAGAAGCAATATTTCTCCGTTAGCCGACTAGAGCACCTGTCGCTGGAAATTTCACCCGCAACAAACTATTCGTGGGTCATAGGTTTGGAGGCTGTGTGCGCTTATATAAAAAATTTCCGGATCTTATGTTATTCAGCAAGTCACAAATACGTTGGTGTGGTACTTCGGAAAGGCAAGAGTTTTTTTGTAGAGTCATGTACATGTTAAGCGTATTAACGTCCTGTTCCAGCCAAGGGGCATCAAAGGTTATTGGCTTCTACCGGCTGAAATGAAGCGTGGTGAGTTTGAAATGATCTTGCTTGGAGAAAGTCGTACCATAGAAAATGACTAGTCGTATTGCCTGGTGTGGAATTATTTATAGGGTGCAAAACTGGGTGAGTGGGCTCCGGTGAGTAACCCAGCTGTTCGCACTGAAGTGTGGTCGAGAAACCGCCTAGATGGTGAAAATCCAATTCTCACATGTTTCTACTGGAAGACACTGAGGGCGAATCTAAATGAACTGCAAACGAGCACTATCCAAAATGTTCCATGGCCGAATATGGGTGGCTTTTCTTGCGTGGCAGCAGGCTGAAAATTTTGCGAACTGTATGAAGGTGTTTACCAGTGGTCAAGCCGATGATTGCTATATTTATGCCCTTTTGAAGAGAATGCGTGTGGAGCATGTGGCCAAACCTTATTGTTTACCAATTTTAAAAACGGTTTGTTCAGTTGGGACTACCTCCTTCAGGAAGAGTTAGTGTTACAAAATAATTTGGAAGGAAGCGTATGGAAACTGGCACGTGCACCCTTGTAGGGCTTTGATTGGGCATCCCAGGGGGCTGGATGAACTTCCCAATTCCAGGAACGGCGTGACCTTATTTTCTGTCCTCTGTCCGAAGATTTTCAGATGGGGCGTAATGCTGCTCGCCTTGCACGTTTAGGATTGAGCTTCCGCGTTTTTCACAGGCAAGCATCCTTCAATATCCCTCACATAATGTCACAGCTCCCGCCCTTCTTCATTGCGCCCTAAGAACGCCCCGCCGCCAAGGGACACAGCTCTAACATCATCGCCCTGCGAGATTGGTCGATAGATGTCTCCGGTCAGTAGTACTAACCGACATCTCCATTCCAGCGTCACTCAGCAACCCTCTTTTTCAACCTTACTAAAAGAAACCTGGCATATATCAGATCCCACGCAAGCAAGGTGGAATACAAACTGGCCTCCCTCCAAAGCATACACTCTGGCTAGCCATCTTCGCGTTGCCCGGCATTATTGCCATTTAGGGAAGAAAATGGCGCCGTACGTCTACTGACAAGCCGTTCCTTCCTTCACAAAAGCATTCCGAACCGCAAAAATCGAGGCTGCTCGTACCCGGCTGCAAAAGTAGCGCATTAAAAATTAACTATCCGAATTCACAAAGTTGGCAAATGAATGCCACCAAACCGATCCTTCCTCCGTTAGCCAATTACTACTATTTGCTCGACGCAACTTCTCACCCGACAAAACCCCTGGACAAATAGACAACCCGGTTTGCCGTTGAAGCATATGTACACAGCAGTCTATGAAACCCCTCTTCAAACAGCATCTCCTTGAGTTTGCCAATCAGCCCGAGTTCTCATGCAATCCACCCATTCAAGTTCTGGATGTAACATATTACCTCTAAATAATTAATATTCCGGCAACTATCATTTTGTAAACCTTGGTTACCCTCGCCTAAGCTCGTCATGCACTGGAGCTAAATCGTGCCCCAAAGCCACGCTAACGAGCTTGACTGTTTGCTATTCTTGCCGTATATCAGTAATGCCAATGACTAGATCACCTGTGGAGTATCTTATGTATTCGTTGACGATATTAAGATAGCACAAACATTCCTGGCCAGTGACTCAGTTTCCACTATACAAATGCAGTCTTATCTGAATTTTCATCCTTCTGGTTGCAATCATTTGTTGCATTCTCCAAATACCAACCTTTCTTTTATTGATTTCATGATACTACTGGGACACTCATTTCAATGGACTATCGAGTCCTGCCCTTTCTGCAGGGAAAGGCATAGTTCTTAGGTGCTCCACCGCTTCTAGCTTCTCCGGATAGGAGTGGTACAATGCGCTTAAAGCCAGCAAGTTTGCGAGTTTAAACGCTACTCATTTGAAAGTGAAAAAATGTTTCACTGCCATCTTTCAGCAGTTTACAAGACCCGTTCTGAAATCTGGCCTTTAATTCAGCTTATAGCATTCACAGACTGATAAGACTACCTTGGAGAACGCGCAGCGCTCATTTACAAAGTTCTCGTTTTCGATGTCGTACTCACTGCTATATCGTCTTCGGTCTTTGTCTGGTGGGCTGAATCCTTTATGGCTGAGGGTCATTAGGCTGAACACAAGCCTTCTGCATCACCTGATCTAACGACCGCTCACAATGCTTACTCTTGCCCGGAGTGATCTTTCTGCCTCTCCTACAATAGATAAAACTCCGAATTTTGCCTCCTTTGTTGACCTAACTTTCGACACACATTTCGCTCTCCTGTATTCCAAACAGTAGAGTAAACTGTCCTCCCATACCCGTGCTCTACATACTAATGAAAACTCTCGAAACATCCCTGCTTCTTACATTTCCATCGAGGGAGCTGCGCATCTTCTTGGACCTCGTCTTACACTAGACACATTTTCGAAAGGGGAACTAAGCCTTTCAAAGTTGCATAATCACACTAACTGCCCTGTTACTTGATTCATACGTTCACCTATCGACGCGGAATTATTACTCGTTTTTTTGGGTTCCATCCCTGGAGAATTCTGTCAGTTCCGTTGGATATTCAGTGCTTGGCCGCGTCAAGATCCAAAACATATACAGTAAAACGAAGCCATAGTTCCCAACTCTAACATATTCTCCGACCATTTAGTAAAGGAAGAAAATAGCCGGCCTGGAAATGTCCATTGGGTGAAGTTCTTGCTTGGCTCGACAGTCTGTTTAACCTCCCATAGAACGTTGTGGTGCTTGGTGCTTGCCACTTTGCAGATCTTGTAGCATGCAATAGGGTTGGGAATCCCGTGTGGGGTCTGGTACGGCTTGTGGATTATTTTACCAAATAGCGTTGCACCAGGAGGCAGTCGTATACCCACTGTTCCTTCAGTAGCATGAGTGCTTCGCCCATCGCCCGTGGTTTCGACAATTGCTTTTAGTTCAAGAACACAATCGATTTTGCGTGTTTGTAGCTAACTGATTGGGTTTGCTGGAGCTTCGTCATTTGGTTGCCAGCACTACAGTTTACCGATAGTGCAAAACTGATATTTCATCCGTTTAAAAATTCATGCGAGAGCCTGAAGACACCCTGAGAGGCCCGTGGCTTACATTGGCATGCGAAACCGTTGCCACGTTCATCTTAGATGTGGCTGCACCGAGCATAGTCCACTTTGCCAACCAAACATAACAAATGCGCTCTTTGTGACCGCTCCTAAAAGTGGTCACATACAACAAAAATAAACAAGTTACAATAAAATTCTTATGATTTCACCACAGGGAGTTAAAGCTAGCCCTTTCGCAATGCTACACTTAGTGATTGAAACCTACAGCAGTGCTTTGAGAACTGGTGACCCGTAATTTCACGTTCATTTTCCCTGCTAAATTTTGGTACCTCTCAACTTACGCAGCCACTTTAACTCAAGACTGGTCCGCCGTCTCGAAATTACTTTTTAGAGGAGCCCGCTGTCCCTTATCGTACAACTCCTCTGCAAAGCAGAGTCCTTCCAATGATAACATAACAGGGACAGAGACCACCGCAGCTACTTACCTAAGTGGCACTGTAATCGCTCATGTCAACGTGCCAACATCTATCCTCATTTCCCGTTACCACATTGGTTAACTAGAGCGTTCACAAAAAATGTTGCGCAAAAACTCTCTCGTCCTGGCCTTACACTCGCTAATCGACCGACTTGCTGTGCCAAAAACATGGGACACAAGCCTGGCATCAATGCTAGCCACCTACATCACTCTTCAAGTGAATTCCATAGTCACCAAACACGAAATTACTCATCCTGGCTTGTTTTATGCTCCTTGTACTATATCAGGCTTGATTTGGCCGAAATAACAGACCCTGTTTTCAGTTTACTTAGCGCAATCTAGCCCTATGTTTAACCACTCGCTTTCACTGCTCTAACAGCAATAAGCCTAGAGTTATCTCCTAATAATAGAATCCATATTATCTAATACCTGGTCTCACACAAATTAAGATTTAATTATTTCATCCCTTTCCTTCCTTTTCCCAAGCTTCAGCCTTCGGCAACAGCTCTTTTGAGCGCACTGTATTGTCACTATGCTCCCCGCCTACAGCCCCATTCATATATAACTGAATCTCTAACTGGACCGAAATTACCCGTGACTCTACATCAGCATCATTATACATGC